TTACTCACACTCATCCCCAAGAAGAAGGCTCCCAAGGCTTTCACAGGCATGAAGCAGCTAGTTTTGCACCCAAGACAAGACAGACTCTTCTAATTTCAATGATAAAATTTTCCCACTTTCTCCTGTTTTCTTCTGGATCATCAGGAAATGTAATTAGCATCCTGTTAATGAGGTTAAATGTTTCTATGGGAGACTGATTCAGCACTGTCACCTTGCACCAGCTGAGGAATGGGCCCTGGAGGCAGCTCAGACTCCAACATTTTCAAACACCACAATTGCCAAGGTCAGCTCTTGACCATGCTTAGCACTGCTGTAGAAATGCTGCTTATAAAATCTTGCTTTAAATCCCAATGCTAATACATTTCCCAATGACATTAAAGACAGCTAACAGTCCTGATGGCATTAGAATGCTGTAGATAAAGCTGCTTTTTGCCAAGTTTGACCATCAGGATGGTCCAACACCACTCCCCTTCTTTCCTCTCAACACCTACTGTATCCATAACACATTACCTGTGCTCTTAGTCTTGGGTAAAAATTTTACTGAAGCACTGGATCTGGAGTCTTCAGACAACAGGATGGGGATAAACTCCCCCTAACAGGAGCCTTTTTAGAATGTGCTGCTTCTCACCAAGCTTCCCCCTGAGGAGGAGCTTCTTTGAAGTAAAAACACTTTGCAGAAGGTGTTGTTGCTCCTCATTAAGTGTCTTTTGGGTTATTCAATGTAAATTTGATGCTGAACAGGAAAGCTTCTTGGAGATGCCACCTCCCACCAACCCTTGGCCACAAAGGTTTCTCCAAGAAGGACCACCTGATGTGATGAAAGGAGCAGTGCTGTTTGTTTTCTTCTGCTTTGCATACAATGGTGAGATTGAATATTCAGCTCTGGTTTAGCTGCTGTACAAGTAAATAGCCTGGACATTTAATTACTGCAGCACATTGACCTGGGAGGCAACAGGAGTTGTTTTCCTGGCTGGTACACAACCAACTTAGCAATAAAAAACACTGGAGAGGAGCAGGGAAGCAGTGAACAAGGACAGGGAAGTAATGGTGAATCCGTACCACCAAGCACTTCCAGAACGATCAAAACCCAGCAACAGAGCCCCCACAACCCCAGAGCGCCGCTGTACCTGGCTCACAGCCTTGATTCCACCATCTTTCCAGCAAAAAACCTCTTGGATCCACACAATACTTCACAGGCTTGCCAACCCTGAGGACCAAGAGAGCAAAACTCCCTGCCCCCATCCTCTTATAACCATGATGGACTTGTTCCTCAGCTGGCAGGAATCAGCCTAACCAGTGACTCAGGTGCAGAGCTTCACCTGGGGGTTGTGTGTTCCCAAAGCTTGTGCAAAGGAAGAGCCAAACCCGCCTGCCAGCTGGGTGGGGTTTGCAGTTTAGGTAGAGCCCGGTTGGCAGCTGAGCTGCCACGCAAGTTGTGCTGAAGATTTCTGTGTGCAGCGCAGAAAAAATGATGGCTCTCTCTGCTCCAGCAGAAAAGTGACACCCCATGAGAGAGTCTGGGGCTGCAGGGCTCCCAGCAGAAAGTAAACCACAACTTTCCATTTTCCATGCAGACATCAAAAAGAAACAAACTTATTTTGTTGGGGTTTTTTTTGAAAGCAACTGCTTGGGTGAGCAATAATTTTATTGTGCTATTAATATGATCATAAACAAGAACAACGTGTTTATAGGCTCAAGTGCTTCATTACTCACTCGCTGACTTGGTAAAAACCACTGTGGCATCAGTATAAAGTGCAAAATGGGACAAATCATTGTAGTCATGTTGTAAAATCATGTGGGCAGGTGACCTTTGAGCAAAGGCAATTGATAGCTCTGAGGCAGCTGTACAACAACAGTAAAGAAAATAGTTGTCAACAAGCCACCAGACCTGTAGGAGGGCAAATACACACCATGCCTGGGGAGGGGAGAGAGCACCAAGGGGACTGAGGAAGGTTTGGGAAAGAGAAGTAAAAGTTGATCTGCGAAGTGCATCTGCAAATCAGCCTTGTTTGGGGATGGGGCAGAGAGGGGCGAGCTCCGCGCCTGCCCGCTAGTGGGAGCAAGCTGGGGTGGGACATGGGGTGCCATGTGGGAAGCCCCAAAACCTCCAGGTCAGCTGGGGGGTCTGGTTTTCCTGGACTTCAGTTTTGAGTCCAATCTTTTCCTTTGCTGCCATCCCAGCCATTCAAACTCCTGCAAACGTGCGAGCTGAGCTGGGTTGTGCAACCAGGCGCCCAGAGGCTGTAGGAGCAGGACTGGGGATGTAGCATGAGCTAGGAAGACCCAAAAATTCCCATGATTTTTGTTCATGTCTATTGTGGCAAATGCTTCTCTTTGCCGTGTAACGAGGGGTACAAAAGGAGGCAGACGCCCTACGGAAGGTCTTCAAAAGAGCAGATTGGGAAGGTAAGGCTGGATGGTGCATGGGTCCCCCTGGATGTGGCTGCTGCAAGTCTGGGACCTGCACAGGGTGAGCTTCCCGGGGTGCTGGCTCCTCTGGGGGTGCAAGGGCCGGGAGGAAAGGAAGGCTCCTCTCTCCCGCGGGGCTGTGTCGATGGTGTTGCCTCTCCCGTTAGGGCTGACCAGGAGACAGAAGCCTGTGGGGACAGCTCCTGCCTTGGGGACAGGAACAAAAGGTTGGAAGATACCCCTGAGAAATGAAAAACCAGCTCTATGGGTGATGCTGTCCAGTGAGTGCAGGAAGGAAAAATTACATCCCAGTTGTTTCACTTTTTGTCCCTCTGCCTCGTTTCATCAGCCACCAGCCCCCGGAGCATCCTGACGCCCCGTCGATGGTTACCAACAGGCAATAAATAAAACCGCTGGAGCCACTGGTGTCAACATCTTGGCATTGTTTGGGTCTTCTTGTTTGCCTTTAAAATAACTCTCCCCCTCAGGGTCACACAGACGAAAAAGCAAGGACCCTCTGCCATCACCCGGAGAAATCATCCTGCCATGACTTGTGTTGCGCTGCCTTTTTTTTGCCTGCAAAGCCTGGGGCTTGGGGAGCTGCCCGGGAGTGCTACTCATGCTACACCCAGGGCTCCTGCTCCTTCCTGCCCGCCTGTGTCCCCACACGTCACCCTGGGGACCTGCAGGTCACCTGAGCCCGGGCCACATTACCCATTTTCCTGACTCCCAGAGGAACAGTTCGGGCTGGATTTGGGGACGGTGTCACCCCACCAGCCCGGTGCTGCTGGCTTATCCACTGCCCGGCTGTGCCCGGCTCTGCTGCGGATGTTGGCAGGCCAGAGAGTGGAAAAACAAATGGTGGAGACGCAGCTTGGAGGTGAGAGCCCAGTCCTGCAAACACGCTGTGCCGCTGCCAAGCCCAGTGCTGGAGGGATGCCCCTTCGTGACAGCCCCTGCCCTGGCACCGGAGCTTGGCATGACACAAGCTGCTAATAAAGCTCTGGAGGCAAAAAGAAAAACTCCTCCAAAGACGGTTTTCATCCGTGGGCTTTGATAAAAGGGTGGCTTGAAACCTCCCATGCTCGCAGAGGGCTACGTTGAGGGACCAGCCACTGAGCTATGGCAGTACTGGAGGGGCCTGATGCTTCCCAGTGCCTGGAGCATCTCCTTTCCTCCAGCAAGGGTTGCATGGTGGAAAGCACCATCCTCCATCTCAGCTGAGTCGTGACTTGATGTCAGATTTCACTCTCCCTGATCATCTTCAGCCTGTTGTTTATAATAAAAATCAAGCGATCCATCTCTTCTGACAAGAGGAAGAGTTGCTCCAGGAAGCCCTGGACAGGTCAACTTCTATATTAAGGAACTATTACTTGACAGCTTCCTGGCCATAAATAGTTGTCCAGCAAGGCTGGGGATTTTATTTAGAAGTAACAAATAAAGCAGGCCGTAGAAGTAACTTCATGACCTTGCTTCCTCTTCATTTCCCACCCATCTCCCCTCCTCGGTATGGTCTTCTCCTCACCCCCAGGCTCCTCTGGAGCTTCAGGGCCCCCTCACATGCCCCCAGCAGAGCATCCCTCTCCATCGCCCACCTCCCCGGGGCAGCTCCGAGAAGCTGTAGAAACGTGCTTTTGGAAGTGTGATGTGGGTTTTGCATCACTGATGATCTTTTGCTACAGCTCAGCGCCAAGAAATTATTTTCTACTTAGCTTTCGTTAAAATAATTAAAAAGGAATCTCTGCCCTGCATGGCTGAAAGCTGGAAATCCTCCATACAAAACATCCCCCAAACTGGATGAAAACAAACGTACCTCCAACACATCCTTTATTTTTTTGGTCCTTCAAACCTTTCTCTTAACTTTTGGAGGACTAACTTCTGATTTTCTAATGCTTGGAGTTGGCAATATCAAAACCACTCAGGAAATACAAAAGAAAAACAGCATTTCAGTATTCTTTTATTATTGGGAAGTTTTGACTGGTTTTGTCCTGTGGTTTGCTTAGAATAATAATAAAAAAAATCTTTCTTTGGAGCTGGGAAGGGAAGAGCAGCGTGTTTATCTCATGTGTGACTCAGCTCAGTGTGGATACGCTAAACGCTTCAGAAGCTAACACTCCATAGAGATGATCATTTTTAATATAAAACAGTAAATGTTTAAAACAACCGTTGCTTTTTTTTTTTTTCTTTCCTCTTTTCTTCCTGTTTTGGCCAATAAAACATATGGGAGGCCACACAGTTTACATTTTAATAAAATTAAGTTATTTGGTGCCATGTTATTACAGTCCTTATTGGAAAGTGGAATAATTGCACACGGAGGAGTCATAGGAGGGAGAAATCACTGCGAATAAACATAGATTCTGGGATGCATTTATTTGCTGGTTTCATCTCAAAGGAGAAAGGCTGTCCCCGGGAAAACGGAGGCGGCCTCGGGGCTCCGGCCTCGGGGAGGCAACCCTGGGGCGCTCCGGCTGAGGATGAGTTTGCTGGGGAGCCGGTGCCACGGCGGGGCCATCCCGGCCCCGTCCAGCCAGCCGTTTGCAGGGCCAGCCGAAAACATTGGTCCCCAGGCTTTTTGGCGGAGGCTGGGGTTTCTAGGCGAGCGCCAGGGCGCACCAGGAGTCCTGCCGGAGCGGCATGCTCAGCCCAGGCTGCGGGGCCATGGTGGTGGGGGAGAAAGTGTAGTCCTCGGGCTCGAATTTAAACTCGCCGTGGCCGCCGGCCAGCGCCTCGTCCGACTGGCTCTGCGCCTGCCCCAGGGAGGGAAGCAGAAAGTCATTAAAAATCCTGTTAATAGCCAACAGGTCACTCTCCCCCTTGTTGTAATGCAGCAGTAGGACTTGGATGGGTTATGGACATGGTGGGTTATCCCTGATGCTACTGCTGCCCTTTGGAGCAGCCTGGAGCCGGGCAGGAAGGCTGCTCCATCCCCAGCAAGCACAAGGAACAAGTGGGGAGGAGGCATCCTGGGGCCCATCTGCATTTATTTATTGACTAAACATATCCAGTTCGGAGTTCTCTAGGTGCATGTATAATTTTTAAGAGCGCAGCACAAATCAGATTTATCTGTTTCAGCCAAAAAAACCCCTCTCCCATACGGTGCAGCTGGTGCTGTGCCAGGAGCTCAGATGCTGGAGCTGAGCTTCCCCTCCGCGCATGCATGTCCAGCTCAGGGAGGGCTTAGGCCCAGCATAAGATAGTTCTGGGTCACAAGATCTTGATGTGTGAGTTGACTGAGAGCCATTTTTTCCTCTACCAGGACAAAGAAGCAACTCGCCCCAAAGAAATCCTTGGGGCAGAAGCACAGGAGCATCTGACAGCATTACAGCTCCGCAAGTGCTCAGCACCTCAGGGCTATAACGCACAGATAATGTATGCCCAGGGAGCCTTTTCTTGGGAGCTACAGAGGTTTCCACCCTGGGCTGATGCCACCAACTCGACAGGGTTGTAACTCCCAGGATTTTATGGCAGGAGATGGGAATTAAACCCAGCTCTGTGCTGAAGCCCGTTCACCACCAGCAGGGCTTGGACCTCCCGGTTCCTCGCTGCAAGATGGAAGAGCTGATGAGCTGAAGAGCTCAAGCCAAGAGGCTGGAGCCTTTCCTGGTCAGGAACGTCTTGGCTTGCCCTCCCTGCTTTCCTCAATCTGAGGCAGTCCATCAGGCTGGTGGCCCCCAATGCAATGAACTAATTGCTTAGCCTCATCAAGGCTCCCCAGGTCAGCGACTGCCGAGGCGTGTGGAGCATCCCCCCCAGCAGGTGATGGCTGTGGGCCCCTGTGCCTTACCTGGGACACCGACACGATGGTTTGTCCGGGATACTGCGAGGTCGCGCTGGGCTCTGACTTTAAAGTGACCGTGCTGTCTGAGTTCGTAATGGAAGAAGGGGAGTTAGTGGCCGAAGTCGTAGACCCTGGAAGACAATTGGTACAAGACGGTGAAGCAACGTAGGTGCAAATCTGCCCTTAATAAAATGTATAATTTAATGGCTACCCCCACATCTCATGGCACGACTCTGCTGTTCTCTTTCTCCACCACCTCTCTGTCAGGGTAAGGCTTTGTATTTGGCTGCCAAGGTGCGGGTGGAGGAGGGGGAGCACCCTGGCACTGCTGGTCCTGGTACAGGACAGATGGGCTATCATTGAATGCGTCATGATACTTTCCCCTGGGCTCTTTACACCATTTTTATGCACTCTTTAACAACTATTCCCAGCCCTGTTTTTTCCCATTACACATTTTATCCCCGATCTGCCTGAACACGAGTGCTGCTGGGCTGGAGCCAGGTGCCCACAGAGCAGAGGGACCTCACGGGAATATGACAGCAGTGAGGTTTCCCACCCAGCATCCTCTTTCCATGTGAGGGGCAGGCATAAACACAGGCCCTACATATAAGCAATCATCAGGGGGGAAATAAAATCACAATATTATTTTCTAATCATCATAATTTCTTGCAGAAGTCACGTTGAGCTGAATCGTGCTCCAAGCCCCCGTGATGGATCATAGCAGCAGTGCTGTACCTGTTGAGGTTTTGCCTTTGGTAATGTTTTTAGGCTTCCTTTTCCTCGTCTGGATGCTTTCCTTTTTCATGGCCAGAGGTCGTGGTACCTTGACATTCATAAAGTTTGGAATCATTAATATTGTGTTTTACTTAGCTCCTTCCCACACACGTGTTGCTCTCCTATTTACGTGCTGTAGCTCATGCAAAGCACCTAAAGTCCTTGTCCTTCACTAAGTGCTATTTTTCTCTGCAGCAGGCCTTGGCTGGAAGATGTATAAGGCTAACAGCTACGGCTTTCCCACAAATTTTGGTTTTTGTCTTTATTTCCTATTTTCCTTTTCCTGATTTATTAGTGACCTTTATGACAGGGCCCTATTAAATTACACTGACAGACTGAGAGCCTACATGTCTCAGAGGGAACGGTCATGGGATAAAGAGACTTTAACCTTTATGGCAGGAGTTCGAAGAGGCCTGTATGGAGGGATGAAGTCTCCTCTTTGGCTGACGGACAAGCTACCAACAGTTCCCATCCTCTGTGGATAAATGCTATCAGCCAGCCTCTGTGTAGACCCCTTAGCACCCTTCACACATTCTTAATTACCACATCTAGAAGAAATATGCTCCTTGTCTCCAGCCTGGGTTTGGGAAGTTTCGGTCTCCAGCTACTGGAGCCTGGTAAATTTTCTTTTGGGGACGTAAGTTGGCAAACAACCTAATTAGGAGCCACCCGGTGCCAGAAATCTCTCCTCTATGCAGGTCCCTCCTGAGAGTGTTCCAGTACCCCCCTAGCCTGGAGAACCTCGGTAGACTGAGCTTTTAACTATTCAAGGAGACCGGACTGGGTTATGGCTCTTCTGGGTCCAGCCTAGAGGCTGGTCCCTCCAGACCTGATATCCTGGACCTGCTGGGTGGTGATCCCAGCCCCCAAAGGGTCCCTCCCGGTGCGGACGTGCTCCTCACCCCGTGGAGCTTCATGTACAACCCGCAGGCGTTGCAGACGGGCTCCCCTTCAGCGTTCCTTCTCCAGAGGGTGGTATTGGTTGTGTGGCAGTTAGTGCAACATAGGCCAGCACGTCTAGATGAAGACTTGAAAACAAGAAACAAACACATGAATGCACACATAGGAATGATTAATTGGGAAGTTTCCTTTCATATAAAAAATAAAATCTCCAATGACACCAATTTCCTGGAAAATCTGAAACACACGCGATAGCCAAATTCAGATCAAAGAAATTACACGCAAATGAGATCACTCTAATTTGCAAGTGCTTTTTTTATTGAGCTTGATAAACCTGGCAAATACCCTTGCAACTCATTTCACAAACTTCCAACAAATCTGCTGGAAATGGTCAGGACTCAGAGCACAGAGAATGAAAGTTCTCCAGGAGATCCACTCAGATGGAGACAGAGATGGGAAATGCCAGCCAGGCTTTAAGCGCACAAAGAGAACTCCTCGTGCTTTAAGTGAACTCTTCTTCTGTTTTTCTGCACTCAGAACTCCCGCTAAAGTTAGCAACACCCCAATTAATCTCTGGTTTAAGACAACTGCAATCAATTGGCTGAAGTGAGCAGAACCAAACTGGACTGGCCCATGCTGGGACCGGGGAAGTTACTCTTTGTACATCTCACAGATAATCTGTTCCCTTACGGGCTGCAGAAACACTGTGCAAATGTTAATTAATGGCATCTTTTATGAATGCAGTGATTGCTAGCTCCGAAACGTTAATAATTCCAAATGGAGAAGGAAAATATTCTGGCAGAAGCAGCAGACTCATTTCTGACAACTGTACTCCAAGCCACTGGAAAACTTGCAAGTTTCTATATACAGACTTGTCAGCTCGATAGGCATTTCATTTGGAAGCCTCTTAACGCTGGGTACTGAAACTATTTTAATAAAAGACTTCACTAAGCGTAAGATACCAGTGACGAGTAATATCACAGGCTCTCCACATTCAGGTGTTTGAATATGTTCTTCAGCCTTGAGAAAAATCACTTTGATTCCTCTCAAAGGCAGACAATAGGCGATGCAGGCAATAAAGAACTCCCTGCTTGTTTATTCTTCCATTATTGCTTGATATCGTGACTGAGCAATATGACGAATGAAGTGGGAAGAGTAGGAATAAAAACAAAATGTTTTTACAAGCTTAGCAGTCAAATAAAGCTCAGCTTTGAGTTTCAAGAGACACAAGTGACATGCCCAAGCTTTGATTCACCCGTTGCTCAGCAAAGGGACCTCAGCAACTACTTGCAAATAACACTATTGCTTTGGAAATTATTTAGCTTTCAAGAAATAACCAGGCAAAAATAATAATACACCGAGGTGTGAGCTGACAAGCCTGGCACAGAGGACAGGACAGCAATCCTTGTCCCTAATATGGGACATGGTGTCGCAGCAGGATCCTGGAGCAGCTACAGAGCTTCCTTAAAGCCTTTCAGCTGCCGGGGCTGTGCCCGTTCATCCCGGCAGCCAGGAGGGACCTCAGCCCCCATGGAAGCAGAGGGAGATGCTGAGCACCCAAGGGGTGCAAGGGGGTCTGAGGTCCAGCTCCTGCCGCGGGCACAGAGGGGAATTTGGAGTCACTCCGCCTTGGGGTAACTGTGCCTGGCGTGGGCTGGTGAGATCTGTCACCACCCGTGGATGGAAGAAGGCCAACGCAAAGCCCTTTGGAAAGCCCCAAGATTTCTGGGCCACCGCAGGCCCCTGGGAGGGAGGGACACACTGTCCCTATTTCATACGCTTTGTTCGCGGCTTGCAGATGAGGTGGCAACCAGACCCGTGGCTCCAGTGGCCCAAGGGCAATGCCAGCCCTGCCAGAGCTCTGCCCACCTTGCCAGCCCTGCAGCACAACCTGCTCCCGGGCTTTCTGCTGGGGCAGCGGCACGGGCCTTCTGCACCTCCTGCACATCTCTCCATGGGCTATCTCCTCCTCGCATGGCCAAGGAGAGCAGAAACCATCCTCCGCTGCCAAATACTATGATTTAAGTCCCAGAAACTCCGCAAGAACCTGGTCCTGCACCACAACCTGCCAGCTTAGCAAGAGACAGTCAAGGCTACTGTTGCTCACTGAAGGACAAGGGGACAATACGTTATTGCTGGTTTCCCAGCAGTTCCCTTAAAAGAAAATGCATTTCTGCCTGCCTCCACCCGGCTGCCTTTGTACCGTTCTGACCTTGTCTAGGAAGTTGTTGACTTCAACATTGTGCTCCAGTGTTTATTTATACAAATGCAGCATACACTCAAACAAAAACTCTTCACGGACTGGGCTTGACAGCCAAGTGCTGCTGATAAGCTCAAGGAATGGCGAGTTGGTGCCTATCGCAACAACCGTGTGTGAGTGCTGCTCGGAGTGACCAAAAAATTCAGAGCCAGCAGGGCAGGTCCCTCTGAGGGAGCCCAAAGCCATCAGAGACTTTGCTTCACCTCCTTTTCAAAGGTGGAAATGAAACAACAGGGTCTCACAGGAAAAAAAAGAGATCTCTGAACCCCCAGGTTTAATCAGCGCTTCTCTGTCCCCCTTGCCAGCAGGACGGAGGGGACCTGGTGTTGATAGGAAAGAGGTTGCAGCAAAGCGGGCTGAGATACCCGAGCTCAGCTCCCGAAAGCGGGCAGACCCGAGGCTCAGAGCCCAGGGCAGCAGCATCGTTTGAGATTTGTCTTTGCTGTCGTGGCTCTGGGCAAACCCACACCTCAGAGGACAAAGGAGCAGCAGGAACTGATGGCCTGGGGAAAGCCAAGGCACACACCGGGAACGCTGCATGGCTCTAGGGTCCTATCAGGTTGTCCCAGGGCTGTGATCAGTCCCATCCTCACCTTCCCCAAAAGTGTCACCATTGCAAACTGTAAAAAAGGACAGGCTGAAAAAATCCCCCCTGAGCCAAGGCAGCAAAATACAACTCCAGATTAGGCCTTCAGCTGAGGATGGTGCCGGAGCTGCTGATCTGCCCCCCGAGAGGTGCAGCTCTGCTCCCAACACGGGGATCCTGCCTGTGCAAGGATGCTCCAGCGGCTGCTCCTGGATGGTAAAAGTGATTTGGCTTTTAGGACCAGGTCTAAGGTATCATCTTGTGAAACGTGCCAAGAAACTTTGGCTAGAAATGTTACTGCCTAAAATAAAGTGCTGCTCCCATCCTCCTCTAAGATAAATCCTTTCTGCCGAAAGCCACGGTGCTTTGAACCCAGAGACAGGCTGTAGCAAAACGGCTGTCCCTGCTGCGTGGAGGATGTTGCCCTTATCACAAACGAACAAAAAAAAAAGAAACAAAAAAAATGAACTGGAAATTTCACTACTATTGCTCACCCTCTCCAATGCACAAGCAGGCTGAGCGCTACCGAGCTGCAGGATGTCATTCCCGCAGTGCTATCTGGGCCACGTTGCGTTCTCCAGGGCTTTCAGTGGGACTTTGCTTTTGTGAAAACAGAAGGCAGAATAACTCCCAGCGCCGCGTCCACTTACAGAACAAAGGTCGCAACGTAAAGGACAAAAGCAACCATTTTTCCTTCCCGCGTCTGTATTTCACCGCATTGTGAAACAGCCGATTTCGTCGTTCCTAGAGCAACGGTGTGTCACCGCGTCCACTGCTCTGCTCCCACCCAGCCTCTGCGGGTGAGGTCATGAGCAGGGAAGACACCCCCTGCCATGGAAATCGTTCAGGGGAAGAAACATCCCAAGCCACAGGGGTGCAGGTCGCTCCCTCGGCGGTGGATTTGCAGAGTACGCCTGGCACCCTCTTCTCCGTCATCAGTGGATCCCCCCTTCCTCTGACGGGGCAGAACATGTTGCAACATAACATTTCAAACCGTTGGGAAAATCCACGATTTTGAAATGTTTCATTCCAAAGTCAGGATGGAAAGTCAAAATCGCAGCCCCTTTTCTAATCCATAAACCAAAATCCCCTCCAGTATTTCAACCTTCCTGAAATGTTTCCCCTGGATAAGAATTGGCTCTTTCATTTGGGCTTTATTATTATTGTACAGACTGCCAAAATAATAATAAAAAAGGTTGGAAGCGCTTTGATAATTCCCAGCAAGATTCGCTCATCCCTGGGAAACGGTCTTAATTCTCCATCAGAAAACTTGGTTGAAATGTTTGCCGAAAGTACCTCCCGGGTGCTACGTGTGGGGCTCTGCCAGCAATGACAGGGGAGCAGACAGGGAGCTCGGGTGGCCCGAGCACTGCCGGCACCACGCAGGCAGGGCGCAGGCAACGCGAGGCTGCCTCCCTTCCCACACGCCGAAATAAAATACCGAACAGCAGCGAGACCTCTCCGGCTCCTTTGGGGAAAAGCTATTTGAAAAAAACCCTAGAAATTCATCCAATGCCACATTTGTTGCCAGTCCAAAAAGTGGAGCTGGATTTAAACTGGTTTGCCCCTCTCTCTCTCTCTATGCACAGATCGTATTTGCTCTGAAGAAATCAGCAGCGTAACTCCGAGATTTGCAGCAGAGCAGCGACCAGAGCCCGCTGCCGGGGTGAGGATTTGATGTCGTTACGTTAGAGACCAGGTTTTAGTGAGACAGGCAAATCCTGTCGGATAAGGCTAAACATTTCACAGTAACGCCTCGATTTTGATGCGATGAACAAAACAGGGCGATTTTCCACGGAGCCGCTGCTCATTTCATTTTGCAGATCCAGACCCACAGTTCCGGGATCGGAGTCAGAATGAAACATCTTGCTCAATCCCAACTTTTTTTTTTTTTATGGTTTTCTTATGCAGAAACTTGTCACTGATTGTGTTATTGCTAATAATTTGGTTTGCAATGCAAAAAAAAATTAACTGCGGGAATAGACCCCGAGCGAAGGCAAAAGGAGCTCCCAGCTGTTCCCCAGCACGGCTCTGACAAACATCCTGTTTGTAGTGACGGCTTCTGATGACAGGCTCCGAAACCAAAACTGTTACCACAAAATTTAAACATCCCAAAGCGACTCTACAAAAAAAAAAAAGAAGAGGCGCCTTTCCCCTCTCATGATGGGTTCCCAAGGGGAGGAAGCCCAGTATCATGTGGTGGGGGAGAATGAATGCTTTAACCTGCAGAGAAACCGGGAACTACCAAACCCCAAACCCTTAGCAGTGGGGGAACTGGGCCTCATCCTGCTCCCATTGCGAGCGGCTGCAAACCTGCCTGGGCCAGCTCAGGATCAGCCCTGTCTCCTGTTAGCTACCCTGCCTAGACCGTATGCGTCTGCATGAAGAACTAGAAAATAATAATTATTATTATAGAATGAAAACCAACACGCACACTGTGGGAACGGAGCCGGAGGAAGCCCACAAGCCCCAGACTGCGGGCAGGGCTGATCAGCCCCTCCTTGGCTGTGGCGCAGCCCCTCCGGGCAGCCCTGGGACCCCTCTGGTCCCTGCTGCCCCATCTCCGTGCTGCCCACCAGCCATGCCCGCTCGGCAATTCCCCCAGCTTCACTCCGCTCATCCTGACCCGAGCCGGCTTTGCACCACAACCAGGGGCTCCTTCCAGCACCGATGGCATTTTATTCGTGGGAGGACTGAGGGTCAAACAGGCCCTAACACAGGCACAGAGACCCCGACAGCACAGGCACCGCAACAACCCCACGGCTCCTGCCCTCCAGCCACCCCCCGGGTGGAGCAGGGGATCCCTGCGGGGTTTCCCCCTCTCCCCAGCCTCTTCTGCGGCTTGAGTGGCCGGTTGATGCCGTTCATTTTGTGGTAGAGCCCACAGGCGTTGCACAGGTAGTGCCCGGTGCCATCCTTCCTCCAGAGCGGCGTGGACATGGCCCCGCAGTTCACGCACTCCCGGCCATCCCCGGGGAACTCCTCCAGGTACTCTGGAAGAAAGACCCAAGGCGTGGGGGTCAGGAGCTGTCCCCACCGCACAGGGCCACCCGGGGCCGGGCTGCCCATGGGGACTCTGCGGGAGAGGGTCCCGAACCTTCTGTGTCCCACAACTCCTCTCTGTGGGACAATCCCTCCCCGTAGGGCTTTACGTCCACCCTACAAAGTGTGGCCCAAACCCCTTTATTCCCTCCACACCCGAATCTTTTAATATTTTGCTCAAAGCCAGCATATTCCCCCATGATTTCCCCCAAAGCCCCCGAAGTGCTGAGCGTGGCTGGGGTCTCCCTGGGATGGGAACAGGCAGGGA